CCCCGGCGGCCCCCCCCCCGTGTCAGCGCCGAGAAAAGCCCATCACGGGAAACTCACGGGTCTCGCCAGGGCGTGCGTCACACCGCGGTGACGTCTGCGCGCTGCGTCACACGTCACCGCGCCGACCCCCGAAACCCCTCCTCTCCAGTCCCGGGGCAGAGGCGCGTGCGCGGGAGTTTCCCGCTTTAGGGCGGGCGGAGGTTTCCGCGACCACCCTTCTGGGGTCTCCGCCACACCCCCCGCGCCCGGGCCTGTCTAGGGCAGCGGAGGGAAAAGTTTAAAGGAGCTAATTTGTAGATGAGGGTGGGCGTCTCTGGGCCACCCTCGCTCCTCTGCAGTGCTCTGGGGCGGCCTGAACCGACCACTGCCTCGGCCCTGTGGAGCCTGACAATTAGGCAATGGGGGTGTGAGGAGTGGAGGTCCGCATTGCCCCCAAACAAGGCCCTCGTCACCGATCTGCCCACCGGCTTGCACTTACTCTGTGTCAGCCAGCTTCGTTGAACAGGTTCCACGCAGGGCAAGGCCTGCACACGACCTGCCTCTGCCACTGGGGTCTTCGCAGTTACCCAGGCTGTAGCTGGGACAAAACGCACACTGTGCAGCATGTTGTTGACTCCTGCCCATTGACTAAGTTTGGCGGTGGATTATAGGAGCTGCACATAGCCACTGAAGATGCTAGCACCTGGCTTGGCAGTCCTGCGCACGCCGACTGATATGGGACTGGTACCTACCGAACTCCCCTCCTCAGGAGCCATTGCACCGCCCTGACAAGGGGACTGGCTTCCCGTGCCTGCAGCAAGCTGCTGGCCTGCAGGCACCAGGCTCTGATTTCCATTAACAGTCCCCTCAGCTAGGTGGCCTCTCATACGTGCTAAGAAGCTTATTTGCTGGGAAGATACATTCAGAAAATTAAGTTCATTAAATTAGAGTTTGGGACTTGCATTTCCCACTAGCTACACACAGCAGTATAAACGTGTCCGACTACCCTGTTCTCTTCAAATAATTCCTTAGAGTTATGTGTTCCAGTTGCAAAGCAGGACACCCTCCAGCCAAGGTACAACCACTTAAAGTTCCTGCTCCGTGTTACTTAAAATACACAATAACTAGTTAATCATGCAGTACGTTTAGACTGGCCACAGTACAAAGTAATTATGGCATGATAAAAATGATGATCCGGCTATAAAAACTAACCAGCTACAAAGTTAGTGCTTAAAAACACAGGCGCAGGGAGAAAAAATTATTTGGAGGGGGGAAGCATATGTGTACTCTCCCCCTGCCCCCCAGCAGGTAAGTCTGTGGGGGAGGGGGCAGGGACATTGGGGAGGGAACAGATCAAAGCCCCTGTGGTGAGGGAGGGAGCAGGGCACAGGCAGGGGCAAGGGCTGGGGTGAGTGGAGCCCTGACTGGGCCAGGTGGTGGGACAGTCAGGGCCCAGGCAGCTCATCCAAGGGCACTGGGGAGCTCCTGCCACTGTGCACACTCCGGCACAGGCACAGGGGTACGTGCCCCCTGGATCTGTGCACAGGGCAGAGGCAGCTGCCACTGCACACTGCACTTTGCACCCCGCTGCCTTGAGAGCTGCGTAATGCCATGTGTCCTGCTGCAAGGCGGGTAGGGGGCATGGCACAGCCCAGTGGCAGCAAGCACATGATGTCACACTGCTCCTGGGGTAGCTGCAGCTGGGGGCAAAGTACAGCATGCAGCAGCAACTGCCTCTGCCCCGCGCACAGATCCAGGGGACACATCCCTGGGCCTTTGCCAGGGTTCACACAATGGTAGGAGCTCCTCCACACCCTTGGATGAGCCACCCGGGCTCCAATTGTCCCATCACCCAGCCTGGCTGGCGCCCCATTCACCCCTACCTCTTCCCCACTCCCTCACCATGGGGGCCTTGATCTGCCCCCTCCCCCCCACAACCCCCTCCCTTTCACAGAATTGACTGGTACTTGCCTGCTGTGCTGGGCATCTAGTTATCCACATGTGCACCCCTCCCCACCCCTGCAGCAGCCGCTAGGAACCCACAGCCGGGCTACCTTTTGGCCCTACCTGCTGCCCTGTGTTTGGGGGGCCCTGAACCCCATTAGCCTCGGCCTTCTGCTGTCTATGTTGAAAAATGTATAAAAACTCTAAAGGTGGTTTGTAATCAGCTTTAATTTGACCATGTAGCAGGGCCCTCAATGTATAAAAATCTAAACATTAACAACATTTCCAAATTTACCTCTACAGAAAAGTTTATATTGAAAAATGTTACCTTTATTTAAACATTTGATTAAGTGTTATCACATTAGCTTGGATATATGATTCCCCCTGCAACCAAATTTATATCCACAAAACCTTCTGCCACATAAACCAGACGACCCCTATTTCAGGTATAGAAATAATAAATGTAGGGGGAAGTCCCACTGTTACCAACTCAATTTTATCATGAGTTTTATGAAACTTAGAATCATTTAATTCCTACTCATAAGCCATGTCCACACATGTAAGCATGTGTGGTTTGTGGTGCAAACCGCTATGGTGCCACAAACAGCATGCGTTGCACATTAAACAATGTGTGGTGCTGCTAAAATTTGAGCAAAATTTGCTACTGGGATGTCCCAGTAGCAAAAAAAACCCAATCCAAAACCCCACCAAAAAAACAAACAAACCAGAAAAAAAAGTAGCACAAAGCATGCCAAAATAGTGTGCACCAGGACAAACGCGGAGATGGGGAAGCAGATTGCCTGCTCTCCTGTCCCTGTGTGCTGTGGAGCCCCTGTGCTGAGGCACACGGATGGCTGGCTGGGGCACAGTGTGCCTCAAGATGGGGGAGCAGGCAACCCTGGACTGCCTGCTCCCCTGTCTCCATGTGCTGCTCCCCAGCCGGCAGGCTAGCCCTGCACAGAGGCACCCTGTGCCCCAGCCAGCCCTCCCCACCTCCCCACAATTCCCACAGTACATTGAGCCCAGTCGAGCAGCACACTGGGAGCTGGGAGGAGCGAGACACAGGCAGTTTGCCCACAGCGGGAGAATGTGTCCCGCAACAAAGTGCATGTGCAGGGGCATATGCTGTGGCATAAAGTAGAGGCACAAATTTGTGCCAAAACTATTTGTGCTGCTGCAAGAGCTCATCTGGACTCAGCCATAGAGTCCATCGATTGTTTGAGAATCTCAGCTTTCTAAATAAAAGCTTATTAGCTCCCCATAGAAAAAGGCAAACAACAAAAGATGAAAATATATTTTATTGTAAGGGCTGCTATTTGGAAACCAAGTGCTCAGCTTGCAGCATGATTTTTTTAAACATTTTAGTTTGCCGCCGCTTATTCCTGGTGCTGAGAGGAAAGTAAAGTTTCAACATTAAAGAGGCAGAGCCAAAAGTAACGAAGCCCATGTTTGGTCATTTGCAGGAACTGAATTTGAAACCTCAAAGAATAAGCTGTTTCTACTTGAGACAAAGGGCAAGCTCATTGGCAACAGCAAACTTGCAGAAATTTCTATATGTAATCTACCCACTAAAGAGAAACAAAGGAATTCTCTAGTAGCATTCATTATGCAAACAAGTGTATGGGGCTACTCCATCAAAAAAACAATACAGCAATGGGCTTGAGACTTGAGTCTGTTGTGTTAGAGCTCTGTTTTTTATTCCCAACTCTGCCTACAGTGACTACCCAACTTCTCAGTAAAATGAGTGAACGATAGAGTAGTTGTGTTTCCCCTTAACAATGGGGAAGAAGTGGTTAAAAAGATTAGGAAGTGCAGAGAAACATCAAGAACAGACTATAAAAGGCCTGGGAATAAAACATAGGTTTTCAGCCTGTAGCTCAAATTGCATTCCCCCTTTTTACAGGATGTCTTTAAAATAGATTCTGGGGCCGCATTCACACATGCATAGACATTTAGTTCCCCAGGGACAAGTAGTTGTCCCTGGGGAATGCATGTGCCATGCATGCTCTGGCATGCAGCAAGTAACCCAGGCTGGGATAAGGGAGTACTGAGCTGGGTCCTGGGGGCCTCCTGGGGCTGCAGTAGTGGTGATCCTGCTGTGAGGAGCATGGCTCCTCCAAGTCCAGCTCCAGTTTTGAGCAGCGCACACTGCCACCATGTGTGGTGCACTGCCACCATGTGTGCCATTCTGCTTTTTTTCCCCATGGGTTTTTTTGGCTCCTGGGTATCCAGGGGCCAACTCCCCCCCCCTCCCCCGTGCTGCTCCCTTGCAGCGCGGAGAACAACTGAATATTCTGTATGTGGCACCGCAGACATGTCTGCAGCACCACATACCACATGGCTGTGCTTCTCTGGATGTGGCTTGGGTGTCTGTGTGTGTGAAAAGTGCCATATGAGTTGTGATATTTGACAGACCTGGAATTTGCTGTATATTTTTTCTTGCCCTGTGGCCTTAACTGGTTGGTTCTGTTTCACTTCCCACCACAACAAAAGAGACATTTAAAGCAGGGGCTGGAAAATTCCTCTCTAATCCCTAGGTTGATGGTTTTGTCTGCATTACAAAACAAGTTGGTGTATTCTTTTTGAAAACCCGATTCACAGTATTGGGGTGACCCTTCCCAGACACAAAATCAGGATCCCTTTTTTTGCCAACTGTAAAGTCTTAGAATCCAATAAAGGGTCTCTAAGGAACATTGGGTCAGATAAATAAAATGTATTTTTAAATGAAAGATTGTACAATGTGACTCTTGAAAACAAGATTTAAGCTATCATTTCACACTGTTTTATTTCCTTGAATGACAGATGAAAACCTACATTCATTTGCCACAAATGTGGACAGGACCTAATTTGGTTACAACAGTATTTGAAAACCTTCTGAGAGTAGGTGCTCCAGAGTTCATCTTTGTCTTTAAAATTGTTTTCAAAAACCACAAACCAAATTGGGCCCCTTCACATTGGCAGTAAAATATGATTAACTGCGTGTGTCCACACATCGCCATACAGCGACATTTCTACTGTACCATGCTTTAGCACTTCCTTTTGGAAGTACTAAAGCAGCATAGTGCAGTAACTGTCTGTATTTTACCGTGGGCGTGGCCCCTGGTTAGATTTTGCCACTACAATCACTGTAGTGGCACACTAAAATGGGGGAGTGTGCTGTTACAGCAACGTAGCTG